TAAGATATTCCTCCAATATCATCTAGGTAGTAAGTAGTCTTTCAAATCAGGTTTCATGAGACAGCACATGATGTCTCAATTCACATGATGGTGACTGTAGCAGAAATTCTCCCTTCTTACCTCACGCCACAGTCCTGGGAAAGTACCATCTATAAGCGTGGGGTATGAATTTGTGCGGAAGTGTCTCCTCTCCTCTCTTTCACTAGTGCAGTTAAATCCACACAGAATCGATTTAATTCAGTGGCAGAAATCAGACTTCTTCCATACTGTGAGAGCAATAGCTGACCAGACAGTGAGATTAAGGTTAATGGGCCTCTATTTTAAGGGTCTAGCTGGGTACATTCTTCACTGTGTAACCCAGTTGACTTTAGGTGGGCATGGTCTAAGTAACGTGGAGACACATCCCAGGAAGCTTACATCTTTCATCATTATCTTTCAACATTTCAGCCATAGTAACAGAAAACTCTTGCTTGGGCTCTGAATGCTCCCATCTCTAACACTTGCTAAACTCCTCTGTAGTAGAGAGCATGGCTTTAATTCAGAACTTTCTGCAACTTGAATAGAATAACACTGATTACTTTTTATTTTAAATTTAAATAAGGTTACTTTCTATTTGTAACAAAATAAATGTACTGATATGGTGTGTGCTGTCAAATCAGGATCTAGCTGACCCTCCAGTGGGTCTTTTTAAAGACAAATTTTATAGTATGTTGAAAAGAATGGGTCCATGAAAAAGAAAAACAGCAAGTAAATTCTAGTGCTATGTACATAGATATGATAAAAAAAAGAAAGAAAAGAATGTGAAATTTGTTTTCAATTCAAAGCAGAAAAGAGTGGAAGAGATGTTGAATCACAGCTTGCAATCTCTCAATTTAGGAGAAGACTGTTAAAATGTATCAGGGCCCTTCTCCAAGAACGAGAAAACTTGGTCAGGATTAGAAGGGATACTCACTTATGGTAACTTGGCCTTCAAATGCATTGGGCAGATCTGTGACTGATGTACAATCCTCCCCATTTTCTGGAGCTATTGGATAGAAAAAGAAAAGCCTTGAGAACTAAAAATAAATAAACAAAGTAAGTAAGTAAATTAAAGCTGTCTCCATATCTCTTCGTTTAATCAGAATGGAATTTTATTACAACATATCCCTCAAATTTTTATTTTTCCTGAATCTGGCAGAGCATGCCAGGAATATCTGTGACTTTTGTGATGCAGTTTCATAAACTTGTAGAAATTTCTTTGGTTTCCTATGTCCCCAACAAACTGGTTCATTAACAAATATATATAATCTATTAGGCACCATGGAACAGAGAGGCACAATGGTAAATAAGATAAACTCTTTCTCCAATGTGGAAATTATTTTAAAATTATTACAAATGCTGGCAAGATTATGGAGAGATTAGAATTCTTATCTACTGCTGGTGGGAATGTAAAATGCTACTGCCACTATGGAAGGCAGTCTGGTACTTTCTCATAAAGTTGGAAATAGAAACACCATTTGACCCAAAAATCCCACTACTGGGAATGAATATACCCTAAAGACACCAGAGCCATATTTATTGCTGTGTTATTTATAATAGAAAAGATATGGAAGCAACCCAAGTGCCTAAAAACAAATGGATAGAAAAAAATGGTACATTCACACAACGGAATATTACACAGCACTGAAAAACAATGAACCTCTTAGAACATTAAACCACATGGGGGAGCCTCAAGAACATTACCTTGAGTGAATTATCTCAGTCATGAAAGGACAAACACTGCATAACACCACCGTTACAAAATAAGATAGACTTTCCAGGGTTGGGGAGAGAATGGAAAAGAGTAGATAGATAATGAATATTGCAAAAGAACAGAGGAGGGGAAGAACTGTCCAAAAGGAATATGTGATCAGGCATTATATGTATAACAACAATCTGGAACAAGGGGGGGGGGTGATGCATAGAAGGGTGAACTGTGGGTGGGGGAGAAAATGTGCAACAGTGAATTAAAAAAATTATTGTCATACAACTAATAAGGATGTTGTTGTTGTTATGTGCCGTCGAGTCGTTTCCGACTCATAGCGACACTATGCACAACAGCTCTAAACCCTGCTCTATCCTGCGCCAACCACACGGCTTCTGACACACCCATCCCGATTACTCCAGTCACCGAATCAATCCATCTCATAGAGGGTCTTCCCCTCCTGCGCTGTCCCTCCACCCTCCCAAGCATGATGTCCCTCTCCAAGGACCTCCTGGCAACATGTCCAAAGTATGTCAGACGAAGCCCCAGAATCCTTGCCTCCAAGGAGCAGCTTGGTTTAATCCTCTCCAAGATGAATCTGTTTGTT